AACCAACCAACCAAAGATAATCAAAGTAAACTAACATGGGTAAAAAGCACAAAAGTGCATAATGTGATTGTGTGTTTATAGACTTTGATTAAGAAAAAATGATGGAAAAAAAAATGATATCTTACAAGATTTTTCTCACAGCTAAGGGAATTCCTCTCCCTTCCCATTAATGGGAGGCAATAGCGAATGGGGCATTGTATCACAAGTTCTGGGTTTGTGGAACAAGGATGAAGTGATTCGCTTCAGCTTTCATTCACCATAATGTTTTTTATAATAAATACTTAGGGTGCTTTTTTTCCAGATGTTCTAACTCCGGGCTGAGCACCCAGCATCACCTTGCTGCGTTTGCTGCCTGAGGATGCGTGGGGCCTTGCGGAGCCAAGCAGGGTGGGCTGGGTGACCACTAGCTGCACAGTTGCAGGCTTTCTTCCTAGACCCCTCCTTTACTCCTTCTTCTTCTGTTGCCTTGCTCTAATGCAAAAGCTGTGATGATGGGAGTGTTCAGTCTGGAGAAGAGGAGGCTGAGGGGAGACCTCATCGCCCTCTACAGCTCCCTGAAAGGAGGGTGCAGAGAGCTGGGGATGAGTCTCTTTAACAAAGTAATAAGTGATAGGACAAGAGGGAATGGCCTCAAGCTGCGCCAGGGAAGCTCCTTTGCTCTTCTTTTCCCAGTCTAACTCGATACGCACATCAGAGTACATTGTCTCCGCGCGTTTTTTGTTAGAAGACATGTAGCATGGATCTGGCCTGCAACACTGAGCTGCAGACAAACCTTATGACATATGTCAGCATTTGACAAGCTTTGAGCTTCATTAAGGACAGAAACCGTGCTTCCTCAAAGGAAAGGATGGTTTTCTTAGGCGGCTGGTTGGTTGAGTTTCTGTCACCTTTTCGCAACGATGCCCATCGAGCTGGGATTTCCTGGGGCTAATCTCTGTAAATGTAAGGGCCGTGCTACCAGAAGACGCAGGAGCTTAAGCAGAATCTAGGCCAACGACAGCTCATCAGTCTCCCTGCTCGTTTTGATTGCTTCATTATCATCTGGGGGTGTCCACATTTAAAGGGAAGAGCGCCCCCCCCGCCCCCGCGGGCACACGGCCACGCGTGGGCCACCCGCACTCCGCCCGGCCTCTG